TTGCCTACCCTTAAGATATCACAAAAAGATGGAACGAACGGACAAAAACGATAAAAAACGAAAAACGAAATGGGTAGCCCTCTTGATTGGACACAAGACTTCTCTCTCTCTTTATCTCTCTGAAACTCTCTCTCTCTCTATCTCGAAACAGATGATTCTGAAGACTTCTTATAGATACTTGACAACTTCCTCAACGTGTGCTTCATACAAAACTGTTATGACTGGCTTTACTCATTTCCATTTCTAGTCTCTTCTCTCCAACTTCCTCTATCTCAACCAACAACTCATGTCTCAAGACGATTGATGAACACAGTATGATTATGCTTATTGCCAATGTTTCATGCATGATAAGCAACTTATGAGCCAATGAATTAAAACTCAACAAATCGTTGAGTCAAAATAGATTTGTTCTTCGCTTGTTGACGCCATCAATATGACGCATGAAATGAAGACTGACGACGACAGGCTCCATACAAACGTGACTATTCGACTACGGCTTAACCACTTAGCTATTAATGAAAATGTTACTAACTGAGAAGCTGAAAGTCATACAGAGAGAGAATGAGTGAGATGGAAAAGACGAAAAAAAAGGATCCTGACCATTCAAATGTAGTTATTACACAAGGCAAGAAGTCAGCTCTCAACACGTACACACAGTTACACACACACACAGACGACTAGCATAGTAGGTTTCATTTGCCGGATGCTCACGAAGAAGAAGCTGTCATCGAAGCATCTAATCCAAAGCTGAAGAAAGATATATATAAGACATTACTCCATATCCTTTCTTTCATATTCTTCATCTTTCAATATATTAGAAGAATTGAATCAATCAGTCTCAAAACTCATTCATTTTCTTCAAAAATTTTTTTTTTCATTTCTCGAAGCTCAGAAAAGCACAAGAAATTCGACTTGTCGTATTTAGTGACTGATGAAGTCACAGAATCTTTGATCACATTGTCATTTCAATTGACATGTCTCAATCAAAAATATACATAAATATATAATATATAAATTAATAAAATATACTTATATGGTAGTGGGAGTCTATCTGTCCATCTCTCTCTCTCTCTCTCTCTCTCTCTCTCTCTCTCTCTCTCTCTCTCTCTGGATATTCAAATCATGGATGTGGAAGATGGAACACAGATTTAACTCTTCCATACATAGACCACCACTCAGCCATCAATCGCTTACCGAAAGGTCGATTCACATGGTTTTCAACTTTTTTTTTCTCAATCATCTCTATCATCGATACTTCAAACTAATTATCAATCTGGTTATATAATCATCAAATTGATATTCATTAAGAATCGCAATGACGCCATTGACGTTTGAAGAATGAAGAAGAAGAAGCATGCCTTCGGCAAATCTCAGAATACGAAATACTACCAGAGATCAATCATTGGACAATACTACTTGCTATTATCGATCTGTTGCAAGCATTTGCACAAGCAACTATTGAATTGGCTCAATTCAGGTCAGTCATATCAATGCTCTATATGATTATCCTAATCATCAAAATCAATGCGGGATTGGAAACACAAAAAACGAAAAACAAATCGTTCTTACACACACACACACAATCTCATTAGCATAACAGTGAGTGTCACGTGTAGAACGTGTGAACATGATACCGTTCGGAAGTGTACAGGTGATGAACTCGGTCTGTGACAACCAAAAGAAAAATGAAAAAGACGGGGCAGCAAACGGAAAGAAATTAATTTCTTTATGAGAGTTATTGCTTCCTCCGTATCAAAAAGAAGAAGAACAAGGGAGAGAGAGAGAGAGGCAGAGAGAGAAGTGCTTGGAAGAAAACGAAAAAACAGTTTGAAAAGCAGTGAAACTATCTCTCTCATATCAAGTAGCTATGATACCTTCCAAACCATGCAATACTTACTTTGCCATATACACACACACATGCTTCCGGCGGATATACGAACTGTGATCGGTCAGTTATCAAAACGTTTTTCAAAAAAATATTTCAGAAGGAAGATCGGTGGTTAGTATAAATAGAATGAAAAGATATCTAGAGTAAAGAGAGGAACTTCATTGGAGAAACGTTTATCATACGCAGACAGTTTGACAACAGTCCTTGTCGAAATCATAGTTCATATAAGGACAAAGTGCTGTCCCATTTCAAATATGCCATCTTGATCAAGGAAATGAACAGTCTAAACAATCATTTAGCTAATTTTCATAAAAAAGAAAACATGTGGTTAGATAGGAAAGCTTGTAAAGTGTGTGTCGAGTGTGAGGATCACTAGAACGGAATTGCAAAAGGATATGAAGAAGTCCAATTGAGATGAAAAGGAACATCGAAAGCTGGTCACACACTTTTCAAGGTTAGAGTCCGAAGTCATGAGTCCAAATAAGGCACAATAAAACATTCAACTGAACACACTAGATGCAAATGGAGAAAAAATAAAATGTAGAAAATATGTAAATCACTGACTTCAATTTATATTTTTCATGAATTTTTTTTTTTTTTTGGTTTTCGAAAAACCATAAGCATAGTTACCGTATACCGATTATGTCAGAAAAAAAATGTCTCAAGACGCATGCATGGCAAACATCAGCAAATTAACTCTCAACCTTATTTGGAGAATAATTAATGCGTTACAAATGAAATTTCTGCAAGACGACGTCCATCGAGGGTTGAAGTTTTGGAAATTGAAGAACATCTTCCAACAGCATACACATATACAGCATAAGCTTGTAAATGTTCAGAAAGACGGGGGAATGATGGGACGATGAGAGAAGAGTATGCAGATATCACATCTTCAGACAAGAAATTCAGAACGTCCATGATATTCGGGTATAGAAATCTGAGAACCAAAATACCTAACATGACCTCTATATAGCAAGTGTTCGAGCACCCCAATGTTCTTCTGAGCGTTCCAATGCGGAAATCGAAAGAGACTGAGACCCTCTTAGTACACCTTTTATCTACAAAGCAATTTTTTCCAATAAGTTGTTATCGCTTCAATAGCAAATTCATCTCGATATCTTTTTTTTTCTCCTAACCCACGTCAGTTTATTCCACATAGTTCAGATGGGTTTTTTTTGTATCGCATTGAACGACTGGAAAGAACAGCAAGAAAAAATCGAATCGGAAATCTGTGACAACTATCACGACGACGACGAGTATGACGGCGAAGAAAATCATCCGGTCGTCAGGCTACCCCCGCTCAGTCGACTTGTACTTTCGAGGTCTTTGCTATTATGCGATGAGTGTTTCTTTCTTCTTTCAATCCGTCTACTACCTGACGAACGAGGAACTTTCATAGGGCTTTTGCGAGGGACATTCAAAGAAGAATTGAAGGCTAATGAACATATTAAGGTTTGAACATGAGAATGAAAATGGAAAAGTAAACGAAAACTAGAAACTTCTTTAGATATGCGTTTACGGCCTCTTCTATCAGCCAAAACAAGGTTAAGAGTATGAAGATAGAGGGCTGCACATTTGTTTTGTGACGTCCATCAACTCTTCAGTTACTTTTTCCGTAACAACAAGATCATGCAAGAAGACAGAGAGAGAGGGAGAGAGAGAGTAGATGAGAGATAGACATATGCGCGCCGAGAAAGAGTTGATTCACTTCTTTAGGGCAAAAAAACTGATTGCACCTTTCTCTTTCTACGTCAAAACTCTGAAATATACTTTTGTCCATCGTTGTCGCCCTGTCGCTCATCTTCTCTTTCGCTCTTAGTTGATCTTCGATCTGATCATAAAAATGCTAACTTCTCTTAACATTCAATCATGATCAAGAAGATAACGTGTAAAACCAAATTCCTCTTTCCACCACAAATCTATTCAACAGCGACAATAGATAGTCCATAAACGCCATACGGTCACCCAATAAGTTTCTGATCCAGTTTCCTTGTACTTTTCATATTTTATAAAATTTCAAACCATTAAGACGTGTCCTTACAATTTCCTCGAGCCATGTGAATGTCCTAAATAGTATGTGATTACATACGTATGTTCTTCAAACTTGAACGGGGATTAGGGAGTGTGTGTAGAGGTGAACTCTCATCTCAATCACATTCTAGAAGATTGTGACATAGAAGCTAGAGATGGCAACTGCTCTGATAGAGCATGATTAACAACTACAAAATGCCTTCTGGGAAAGCTAAGCCCTTAAGATGATTGAGATTATCTGATTATATGATGAGGCGGCCGTTATAGGACTACACTGCAGCCTACAGAGACTGATCACGAGATGAAGATCAAAAAGTACCGACCACAAGCTGAACAAGATTCAAAAAGTTGAAGGTTCAAGCAAACTTTGGGAAAACGCCCAATCCCCGACTAGGTGACCAGCGTATCATTCAGCAGGATTACATATCATCAGTGTCTCTAAAAAAAGAAGACGAAGAAGTAGTTCGAGCTAATACAGCATCAAAGCAGATTCCGATGTATGACATGGATGATATGATGATGATGATAGTTCCTTAATTAATACTTCCCTAACCTTCTTCGCTTAACAATCAACTCTTTTTTTTTTGGTAATCAACTACGATAATTGATTTTGGTGCGCAAGTTAATAGTTGACTCGAAAGATGATGATGACGTCATTAGTTGACTAAACTCGACTATCAGTCGAATTTGTTTTGAAACTTTGAATGATTGGTTATGCATCGTAAAGTTGCCGCGAATAAAAATTGATAGTCGACTGTAAGTCTCGACTATACTCCGACTCACATAGAGTTTTGCTGTTGGCACACATACGAGTATAATCATAAATGATCGACTGACTTCGATTAAGAAACTCACTCTAGTTGGTTCATTTTGCGCTCCACGGCTAAAAAATTTTTAAAAAACAAAAGTATTTTGTAAAATATTAAAATAGTTGGTAGTCGACTATAGTTGAATTGCGATTTTTCCAGCAACTTTAATGCATCGACGATCATCATTACATATTAGTTAATTTCAGATTTTCTTTTTAACAAATATAAATATATATTAGATATATACTGTATAATAATAATAAATTAAATTAATGCTGTGTTGCCCTCTCTGCCGGATTCAATATGGTATTTGAATGCTCGAAAGCATTTTAATTAGCTAATAATTTAATATTCAAGATGACGCTAGACGTCTGCCTATGTTAGGATTATGCGGACACACAATATGTGCTATTTGTCGATCTAATTTGTGAGTTATTTCAAATTTGAAATATTATATTAAAGAATTCCAGAGTGAGACGTCAATGTCCCGTTTCTCTACGATGCTCTTTGGTTAAATACTCTTTTCTATTTCCAGCTGTAAACTATACAATTCAAGGTTGGAATCATATCAATGTTCTCGTTATTCTGGTATTTCAGAACATGTTGAGATTGTAAAGAATTATCGTAATGAACTACATAGTAATGAACAAGGTAATCAGTGATCAACAATCCTGTTAAAGTACGTTATAGTATATCCTAAAAGGAATGTCAACGAGGTAAAGCAAGAGCTGCTGGGCAATCATAGAGAAGAAGAACAACATAACAATGAAAAAATTAAATTACTAACCAAGGAACGCGATAAGTTGAAAGCACGTGCTAATGACCTAGGCAATAAGGTTATCAATACTGGAAATGTGAGTAGTCTGTTTTGAATTCATTCATTACTGCTCTTGACGGACCGAGCGGTTGCATTCATCCTGTTCTTTGTTTTTCAGAGCAAATGCGCAGATACTGTTCAATGTTCTAACTGTAAAGAGTACATGGCCAATTGGTTGGCGATGTGTTGCGTCACATGTACGGAAGGGCTAGAACTTTCAAACTCTGATGTTATGATAACTGATTTAGAGAAAGTAATTTTGTCAGCTATGCAAAGTTTCAGATATTTGTTTCAGATTAAAGCACAGCAGTTGTGCGGCAATTGTATTCTCGATTCAGATCACAAGACTCATCCGTTCGATACAATTTTAGCTTTCCAGGTACGGCTCCGAACAGTTGTAAATGTCGCCATTCACTGCTCATTCTAGGCTCGTCAACTCATACAGGAAAAGCTGCGCGACCAGTTGGAGATTGTTAAGAATCTTGAGTGGCCTAGCCACGAAAATGGAAAAATACACTATCAAGTACAGTTGATATCACATGATAAAGGTTATTTCTTTTCTAGAATCTGAGACGTTTGGTTACGGATTCTGCTTACTGTCGCTCACTACAGCAAGTAGATGAGATCATTCAAAACGTTCAGACAGGAGTTCAGTCGATCCTGCAGATGCATCGGAAGGCCCTCGAGAACTCTTCCATGATGGAGGTTTCCAAGGTAAGAATGATTTTGTTTTTTCAAACAGCATTTCATGTTCTATAGATTCACCGCAAAGGTCTGGCTGTCCGCAAAACTCTAAATGTAAGTCGTGTTTTCCTCAAAACTAATTTTGATATCTGTACTGTAGAATGTACGAAGCCACCCGTTCTCTAGTGCGACAATGGACTCTACATTATCCCGACGATCAAATCGTCTACGTAGTGCTAACACTTCTCATTAATATTTATTATTTGAATTCAATAATCCGTATACATTACTTAATTTGCTTAATATTGTATTTATTCATACAGAAAACAATTAATAATTTTCGGCGACGAGGAATAAACATTCAATTTGCCATGCTTTTTAGTGTTTTTCCATCATCTACCTCTATCTAGTATCTTCGTAACTCAGAAAAAGACCCCAGTTCTACTCTTGCTGGATTTTTTTTCTCGCATTAGCATGTGGCTGAAAATCATCTAGGGTATAGAGAGTAGCACCGGATAAACTTACTCGGTGTAAGCTCTGCTTAACTGTTTCTCATCAGGTGGTCGCCGTTGATGAGAAGGATTTCTCGAGTGGTGGGGTGTTGCCTGTAACATTCTTTAGTTTTAAGCAGCTTCAACCAAACGACGGACTATATTGAATGTGCTCTTCTGGAAGCTGAAGAAATCGTCAGAAACTTTCTTGCTAGTCCCCGCGGGAACGCAAGAGCTTCCTCTTTTCTCCTCTAACATTTTCCGTTTCATTTTTTGTCTCCGCACACTTTCTAAGCTGCTAGTTCGTTTACGCATCTCCATCACCTTCTCGCGTAAAATGCGATTCTCTTCCTGCTCTTTCCTTCAAAAAGGATTTACAAACACTGATATTATGCTAACTTAAAACGATTCAATTGTGAGTGTTCCAAATGATCCATTGCCTTTTTCTGGAATGTGAGCATTCTTTTCAAGTTTTCCATCCTGACTGAGCTGAACTGATATGGTTCAGTGAAGTACATAGCCTAGAAACGTTTTACTTGGCCTGAAATCAAACTTCAACTGACCGCTACATTTGGAGGAAGTTTGCCTAACTCGATGAGTCCACTAGGCTTACCACAGACAACACACTTCTTATCTGCAGATTCATCTTAATTTGCCGTTTATATGTAGAGAACCTTTCATTATAACAAACTCTGCCTTTGAGCGCACTGGATGCATATGATGTGACTACATTTGGTGATAAACATAGGTTTTTGGATTTCAACTGCTTCTCTCAAACATTTATTACAATGCAACCAAGGTACTCGCATATTCTTCATTTGAGAAGCACGTTGATCCATTTTATATTTTAACTAACGAATCCACCGCGAAATCCTAAACCAACCACTTATGCTCAACTGGCATTTGAAAATGGCTTTCACGTTTCGCGTCGAGACCGTCCCCACGTTATCAATATTTAAAAAATGCTTATATAAATACTTTTATTAACTCTACAGATTATCTGCCGAACACATTGTTTCCAATATTTGCCATAGTTTGATAGTTTGGATCGAAAGCTCCAGCATGGTTCTGGTTGGAGATTTCAAATCATTTCGTAAATCAGAAAATGTACCTTATTAGCCGGAACTGTTGGACCTTTCGGAGTTTTCTTCGCAAATACATCATCGTTTATTCCCGCTAATGTTTGATAGTTTGGATCCATTGCTGCCACCTTACCCTGTTTTATTATTATTTCAATAAGATTTCGTGTTAATATTTGATTCACCCCCGTCAACGGAAGCTTAGGTGCACCAACAGTAGGCTTGTTACCACCAACAGCTTTTTTCTCGAATACATCATCTTTCACATTTGCCATTGTCATATAATTTGGGTCCATAGATTCAGCTTTTCCTCCCTCAAATAACTCTCTTCGGTTTGTAACTGATCACTCTGTTTTCATACCACATTGGGTGATTTCAATCCTGCGTTGCCACGACCGTTATCTACACCTCGATTCGGAGCTTTTCTCTCGAAAACATCGTTTTTCACATTCGCCATTGTCATGTAGTTTGGATCCATTGCATCCGCTTTTGCACCTTGCTGAATATAACAAAGGTGAGTAATAACTGCCTCTGTACTTACATTCTGAGGATTTTTAGTAGCACCGCCACCGAAGTTCCCTCCACCCATTACATTCTTGTCTTGTCCAAACATATCACCCCGAACAACATTCAATGTTTGGTAGTTAGGGTCTTGTGCTGCAGCTACTCCTTGTTTACCAGCAGCTGGCATTCCTCCACCCATTCCTCCTCTTTTCTCTTCGAAAACATTTCCAGCGATTGCTGCCATGGTCTGATAGTTTGGATCATGGGCTCCTTATCAAACAGTAATTGCGATTTTAAAATAGGAAATACAGTTACCCGCCACACCACCGGCAGCAGGCTGCGGTCGCTCAGCACCTCTTTTGAAAACGTCGGGTTGGCAAATGTTAAGAGTTTGATAATTTGGGTCATTGACGCCTGATGATGTGAGAATTCTCTCTTGTCCACAGTTAACAGCAAACCTGCCATTCCATTTTTGCGTGGAGGAGCAAGAACCTGCTTACCGGCCTTATTGGTTGAATCTGGAAATCCAGCGAGAGTTTGAAAATTTTGCTCTAATGTGAAAGTACTCATAGTGTCATGTACTCAAATTCAAAATCAAGTTTAAGAGCTTGATATGGTGATATTTCAATTTACCTTGTTCTGTACCACTGTCAGTCTTCGCACTCTTCTTCTTCTTATGCTTCTTGGCTGAAATGATCGAAACAGAATTGTATTTTCAGGAGAACGAGAAAGATATATCCGAACTCACACTTTCGGTTATTGGAATCCTGTAAGATAAAGTTTTACAAGAGTTTTTTAAGTGTTCTTGACAAACCTTCTTCTTGCTAAAGCATTTTATCATTAACAAACTGAACGCGAATGCTATCGTGGGCCCGAGTAAGGCCTGCAGTAGCCATTGGTCAGTGCTCATACCAACCTGTACACCACTGGCCGTCACTTAAAATGAATCATGTCCACGTGAGCCACGTGGATTCAAAGGTTCATTTTTTTTTCAAATTTCAGGTCATCGGTATGTCGGCTGCTACTGTTCTAATCATCATGTAAGATTGTATGCTTAATGCTGGAGTATTGAGGTTTGCCACTCCACAGCGCTTCTGAGCAATCTTTTCTCTCAACTAATCAGTTCAGATTTCGATTATGTCATTCCAAATGTCAGTTTCAGACAAGAAAAAACCTAATGGAAGGACAAGCAGTTTAAAATTTTTTTAAGTTCATGAGTATGTCTTGTGTATTTGCCCACTTAAAACTTATTGATTTTCCAGGAAGTAACATCTTGGCCTTTTTTAACAATTGAAAGATGATGAGTTTACTTTGAATGGTATGAATGTTTGTGACTTACCTCCTGTCTTTCTCATTCGTATTGACCGCTCCTCATTCTCCACTGGAGACTTCTATGAACAACAATTTTTCTCTGTTTTCTTATCGTTATGATCTGAAGGAAGTAATGATTTCTTTTATTTCTTTTCCATAAGTTACATATACACGAACAGGTTTATGCGTCATGTCTCTTTCTTTCTTCAACTTGACCTGTGACAGTTTGCTGTGAACTTCTTTTTTTTGTGTTTGATCAACAATTTATCGAATATCAGCTCATTTGAACAATTCTCTCCTGTTTATTCGAAAGCTTCCAAGTAGTTTTCATCTCTTCTTCCAGAATGCAGTGTACTCAACTAGTCGTCATCGGTATATTGGTTGGAACAGCGATAGCTCTTGAGTGTTTCACAGGCTTCAAATATTTAGCTGGACAGAGTGTGGGTAAGTTCTCTAAGTTGTAAGTAACAGACAATTTACTCGTTTTGAAGGAACTTCAAAAGAAACATGTACAAGCTCCATGGATTATTGCTACAATGCAACAGCTGATTTGACACAGTTGAGTAATGTGAAAGTGGCTGGATGCTCCGCTGCTAGATGTCTTGTACGTTCGTTTTCCATCGTTACATTGAGACTTCAATTCATTTCAGTTGGCTCGCAATAAATGCATTAAACAAGTTTTCGGTGGTAAAGAGGTACAATTCTGTTGTTGTAATACAGGAGATCTGTGTAACTCAAAGATGACGGTTCGTTATATTGACTTTCTGTCCTTATATCACGAGTATTCAATTCAGAATTTATCCTTTTTCGAGAAGACAAAACAGCGAGTGAAGGATTGGACTAAGATCCTTGGATAGATTGTTGTATGTAGCATGTACAAAATAATTATAAATAACAATAAAACACTTATCAGATCAATCGAGTTTGGCTTATAAAATTAGCAACAGTCATCTATTTCTTTCCCATGAAACTCATCATTCCTTTAAGAACTGATAGACCACGGCCTACCATCGAACCACTTTCCTACAATTGAGGTTGTGATTTTCCTTGTTCGAACTCTAATGTACTCACCACCATCTCGCCTCCGTTGCATAAATTAGCATCGTTACAGCAACAGAATGTCACGTTCTTATCAGAAATTACTTGTTCGAAGCATTTATTACCATTGAACTGAAACAATCGAGTAGGAAGGTTTCAATGAAGCCTACTTACTTGGCATATAAGAGTATTACATCCTGCTGTCTGAAGAGTACTGAAAGAAGTTACATGAGCTGTTGCGTTATAACAGTAGTCAGTATCTTTTCCACACTTCTTCGTTTCTGATCCGATAGTACTTCCTAAATATGGAGTTTCGTATTGATTGCCAACGCAGTTGTTCGTTGATCAACGTTCTTTACATTTGATCAACTACCTTAAGTCAAAGTCCCATCTTACCTTTCATCACTGAATATCCTGTGTAACATTCTAATACGGCGGAAGATTGGTAAGCCAGAAGTAAGAATAGAAGAGAAGTCACAACAACGGTCATTTCGCGTAGAATGACTTAATATGGAGCTGGACTTAGAACAAGACAATATTACACTTCTTTAAAACCCATAGTCACATTGGTGACAACAATTCATCTTCAATTCATCGGCGGAACTAACAACGATCATTTTCATCTCTCGAGACAACCTTTATTGCAAGAAACGACGACACAAGTTATGAACAAAACAACGAGAAATATTAAATAGGAGTAACAATCATATTAAGAAGACTTAGGTGGTAACATACTGATTCCATCTTCATTGACTTCCTCCAGATCACCAGCACCCCAAAGGCCCTCGAGATCGAAGCGTTCCCGAAGATCAGGACTCATAACATGAACTTGAACAGTTCCAATTGCTACTTGAAACCAGCCAAAGCCATTTCGTACAGAACGTTTTGAGACCTAGAAGTCAAGGTCAGAAGGTTAAAAGATAATTATTTGACTCACTGCTTCATCAGCTACACGAGCTGCCCGTCGAAGAGCATCGGCCATAGCGAAACCATGCCGAGTATTGAAGGGACTACAAATAATCTAAGAAAAAGCTGAATTTAAGTTTCTACTCTTTCTAATACTAACCAGAGTTCTGAAAAACGTAGGACCAGCATCTCCCAGTTCGAGTACAACAATATCAGCAGCTTTCTCATCGACCAAAAAGTTATATACATCGTCAACAGTGCTCAAACTACAATAGGAAAACAGTATACAACCTACAAACAAGGACTTACGTGACTTGGGGTACAGGTTCTTTCAAAGGTTTAACAGCCAACTCTTCATCATCGTCTTCAGTAACCTCATAATATTCTTCTACATATTGATTGAAATAGTCTTGTATTTGTTTAATTCGTTGATCAGGGTTTAACTGTGAGGAGAGGTTTCTTGCGACAAAAAAGCTGAAGTGTGAAAATGTTTGAAAACTGTCAAAGCCTACGACAAACCTGAATTTATTAGTTGGCGAGGGGATTAGCGTGGATGGTGATGTTTTTAATCCTGAAATATACTTTGATTAGAAGATCAAAGCAGAATGCTCTTACCTCTGCTCAATAACCGGACGATACTTGGCGTCCACTTTAATGTTTTCCAACTCATCGAGAGCGTCGAAGCCATCTATGACTCTGAAAATGAATAGCATCGATTTGCATACATTCTCCGATAAGCTTACTTTCCGAAAATGGTATACTTTAAATCTAAATGAGGTTGCTTAGCGTAGGTTATGAAAAACTGAGATTTGTTTGTGTTTGGCCCGTTGTTGGCCATAGACAGAATTCCACGAGCGCTGTGCTTAATTAGGTTAATGTAATATATGAATGTTATTTTTTTTCAAACCTTTAACTCGGGATTCAGCTCGTCTTCGAAAGGAGCTCCCCAAATACTGTTTCCACCTTTACCACTTCCAGTTGGATCACCGGTTTGTACCATAAAATCCTTTATGTTTCTTTAAAAAAGAGAGAAATGAAAAAAAAAGAGATAAGAGATTGAAAACCTGTGGAATATATTGTCGATATAGTAGCCTGAGCCACACAGAGCCAAGAAGTTCTAAAAATGACAATCACCAACGTTCACAACAAACAACGAAGTTATCACTAAACATACCTCACAAGCCTTGGGACAATCTTCACAAAATAGTTCAATTTTGATATCACCGGTTGTGGTATGAAGTGTGAGAGACATATATACAGTCCGAAGGAACTACTTGTAACGTCTGTTAAGCTTATTTAACTATGTTAACTATATGTCTTCGAAATTCAAATTTCCCTTTGCGTAAAAACAGTGCGGACTGACGCAATGGTACTTCTGACGCAAGCTCGGTGTTTGTAATG